AACAACATTGCTGAGGTTCCTGCATGGTGCGGTTACATATGTAACTTGTCTCCTCTGGTCCCTTGGGTACAAATAAAAATATCCTCATATGCATCCTATCTCCATACGCCCTCAATAGATCAATGCTATAGGACAGGCATGTCCAACTTCAAACAGGCTGTGATCGACTTTTTAGTGTGAAAACTGCCAGGGATCTACCACCCCCTCCTATCGCCGTACCTCGCTTTAAGCAAAAAATATTGGTAAAAATAACACGACACATGATGTTTGTTGTAAAAGCAACTAGTAACTAGGCTCTCTCTGATGTCTGTAGCTTCATCCAGTTGGAGGGAGAAAGCAACACAATGGAAACATCTTTCAGCAACTGTTCAGTTATGTTTCCACACATCATTTATATTCACGGCACAGTGGCGTTTCTTGATAATTGAAGATCTTGAATAGTAGCTATGATCTCTTTCTTATTTTTAAATTCTTCAAAAAGATTATAAGCTATTTCAAGAAAACGCTATTTTACAAATTCCCCTTCATTGAAACGTTTGCATTTTTTAACGATCAGACTGCTGACCTTGAAGGATGATTTGGTTGCATTGTTAGAAAGTGACCTTGGTTTTGCCATCAACTGTTGTTGAGCAGCTAATTTCGATTTAAGTTCTTTGAGCTTAAGTTTACGAATTTCACTTTTGGGTGGAAAATCAGCATCATACTTATTGCTGTGGAGAGCATTATAATGACGTTCCAGAATACCCCTTTTTGGCATGGATACTGAGGCGTTGCATTTTCCACTCTATTAAAGTAACTGGTTTAAACAGACACACGCATACAGGCGCTTTCGAAATTAATAAAATAACGTGGGCAGAGCACTTACTGTCCCTTTGATTACACCGAGCTCATCCCCAAACTCTACCTTTGTTTAATGCACAGCAAAGCGACAAATCTCCACTAACAGCTAATATAATATTACGTCTCACTTATTAGTTCAACGTACGGGGATTCACAGGTGACTGGAGGGAGGGAAGGAAGTGAATCACGTTCTGTCGATCACTCTTGCATCAGAACACACGCGGCTGACGACGAGTGATGAAACAAGAGTTCACGTGATAAGGATAGAGTAGGGACTTCCCCACAGTTCCCTTAACGCAAATGTAAAGCAACTTTCACGTAAGCTACATAAGAACAGAAAAATAGGAATGACTAATACGTATTTCCCCTTCAAAATCTGAATATAATCACATTATATTACAAGTGAATTTACATGATTTTCACTTATAATTTCCTTACAGACCAATGAGATAATTTCGCACAATGTACGTCAGCAGGCGCTTTATTACTATGCTTCGCAGCTTTCGAATGCACCATTGGGAGTGTCCGAGGAAGTCAGGTATGACGGAATCTGACTGGGACACATCAGCTTCTGGTCTGTGCTGATTATGTAACAGAGATAACAGAAGCTCTAATTGACGCCAGTGAGGACGCTGTTGCAGGACAATCTTTTAGACGCGACACACTCTAATTTATTAAACACACAAATGATACAAATTTAATATTTAATACTTTAATTTAACATTTTGCTTTTCTCTAATTATGACGTGCTAATATAAAATTTGGTAAAAAAAATCGCGACACATCTCATGACTTGTGGGGCCACACCAGTGTGCCCCTGCACACCAGTTCCTGAGCACTGATCTGGAAATAAACACATATAGAACTAAACGTATGTTCAAGGGCCGCGACGTAGCTCAAGCGGTTAGTCGCTGGCTTCCCACCACGGCGGCCCGGGTTCGATCCCGGGTCTGGTCAAGTGGGATTTGTGGTGGACAAAGTGGCGCTGGGGCAGGGTTTTTCCGAGTACTTCTGTTTCCCCTGCCAATCTTCATTCCACCAATTGCTCCACAACGATCCTCACCTATCATCTGGGGCTGGTACAATAGGCCAGAAGTGGCCGCAGTACAAGGGTCTTAGTCCCACCCCACCAGCAATAAACAAATAATATTCAGGTCTCGTCATCAGAATGCAGCACAGTTTCATAGCAGACGTGTGTAAACTTAGGAACGATAGTGACTTACCGATATTTCATTTAGGAAGAAATTAGGAACAGATTGAATTCGGGTAATGCTTGCTACCATTCAGGTCAGAACCCTTTGCCTTCTCGTCTACTGTCTAAAAACATAAAGATTAAAATAAAAAAAATATAATTTAGGAGTAGAACATAGACTGAGGTGTCGGAATTACTAGGATATTGGACACTGGGATCGTGGGTTGAGTCCCACTCGAGACATAGATGTCTCTGTGCGTTTATTCTGTGTTTGTGTTGTTCTGTGTGTAGGCAGCGGCCTTGCTACAGGCTGATCTCCTATCCAAGGAGCCCTACCGTCCTGTACGAAATAAGAAACTGAAAAAGTTGCTAAGGTCCGCGAGGATTGTAGAGCCATAGATAGACAGATAAATAGATAGATAGACAGACAGGCAGATAAATAGTTGCTAAACTGACGCGAGGTAGAAATCGAATTCATTACGCCTTATCGCTTCTGCGAATTTAGTAACTCATTGTTAAGAGTATAAATTGACGAAGTAAAAATACATTTACTATCAAAGTGAACCATTGTGGCTTGTTGTATGAAGCATGACCGATGTGTTACCCCGTTAATGCCACCCATGAGGCAAATCAAACCTTTACCAGGTGAGTTCCTGTCCTTACCCATCCACACCTCAGCTAACGTTGCCCAAGCAAGGGGTCGGGTTGACTTGGACGGTTACAACCCCAATATTAATCCAGCTATACAAGTCTCCAAACCTCGATACCCCTAGTATAACATCTCAGATTAACTGCAGCCACAGTAGAAGACGGAAAAAAAACCCGAAACGAAACTAATAAACAACTTAAAATTACATACATACATGCATGCATAAATACATACATAGTCGTACATACAAAAATGAAAAATGCAAGAATATGCAGTGTCCAGTTACATAAAGTAATGTGAAGAAAAATACTAAATATAAAGTAACACGCGTTACAGAATTTTATATACTAGAGAAATAGAGATTTATACAGGGTGTTTCACGACTTTAGGGTATAACTGCAGGAGGTGATTTCCTAGGTCTTTGTGATGAAAAAAGTTCATATAAACATGTGTCCAATTTTGGACGGTTCGGAGTTATGACCGTTTTTTCATTCCCGTACACGCCCTCGTGTGAACCGCGTCTGTCAGCTGACGGGTCGCTATCTTTAGCCAGCTACAGACAGAGCGTTCTCGTTATCTCGACACTTGAGAGCTACCTAAGGCGGGATGGGTTGGTATGTCCGGCGCGGTTCACAACCGAGCGGCAGCCTGTGTTGCGGCCGGCGGTGGCATTTTCGAAAATCAGCTTTAAGCACCAATAAATTCAAATTAAAGGTAACTTCACGAAGTTAACTTTACATTCATACTTTAAATGTATCATGTATTATGCTGGTTTATTATTTTGTTCCGTTTATTGTCAGTAATCGTTAGCTTCTATTCTGAGTTTAAAACGGTCATAACTCCGTAACCGTCCAAAATCTGACACATGTTTATATGAACTTTTTTGATCACAAAACCTAGGAAATCACCTCCTGCAGCTATGCCCTAAAGTCTTGAAACACCCTGTATTGCACTCAAATCTTTGCAGAATTAAGCATTTTTTCACTATTATTTCGTCCCCGTCCTTATACACCTCCAAGTCTTAAAAAGTTTGTTTTTTGAAACCTACATACATTTACATTGGCTAATTGATATGCATTATCTGATGATAATTTACGGCCGTAACATGGTGAGTAAGAGGGGGTAGAACCAGAAGTTCTGTCAGTGTAGATCTGTGCGGAAGTCATAGAGGAAATACACGTAACTTAGGTATTCAGAGTAGGAGGGATTTGTAGCCGAATGTCTTTAGCCGCTCCCCGAATTCAGTCTGTTTTAATTTAGACTTATTTCCTTGCCCAAGGTTGCCATATTTAAGTACTCGTGGCCCTCCTCACATAATGACACCTTGTCGTGCTTACCACAGCGGTGGGAAGGGTTCGATTCCAGGTCGTGTAGCATGGGCTGAAACTGGAGAAAGGTTTTCCGACTACTTTGGTTTATCAATAGGCCCACTAGTGGTCGGTGTATCACGCGAACTGAGTCTTACCCCACCCAAAAAATGAAAAATACACCTTATTACTATGTGGGAGCCGGGATATCGTCGTTGGTATAGCGACTGGCTACAGGTTGGACGACCGAGGGGTCGGAGTTCCAGTCCCGGGAGGGTAAAAATTTTCCTTTCTCCACGTCGTCCAGTCCGGCTCTGAGGCCCATCCAGTCTCTTATCATATGGGTAGTGGGGACCTTTCCCTGGGGATAAAGTGGCCGGAGCGTGAAGCTGACCACTCACTTCGACCCAGTGCTGAGACCTGTCTATAGNTAAATTGAACTACAAAAGAACTCGCACGCCGTGTCATAGTTGTCGTTAGGGTTCCAAGCACTATACATGACACTTGAATGGCAAGCACTGACGTAACATGGCTGACTGCGCCTTCTGGTATGCGAGTGTATGCGGCTAGTGTGAGCCGTCATCACCACACTCAAGGACAAACATCGATAAGACTTGTCAGCTGACAGGTACAGTGAGTGGACCCGCCAGAAGACCACACTTTTCTCGGGCCATTATCTCCGTAACCGTTCAACTTTGGAAAGGTGTTTTGGGTTATATCGCCATATTTTAACATAAGGAACGCCCTCCCGAAGTCTGGCACATTCTTCTTGGGACACCCTGTAGAGCCACTTCCCCACACTCCTTCGTGGCATAGTGTTTAACTAGTTAAGCAGAAGAACAAATTTACTTTTACCTTCACCCCCTTATTACGTATATGAAGTTCTCACAGGGGTAGTTATGAAGAGTGCTATTTTCTTGAATATAATGTCAATAGGCCGTTGAAAGCCAACCAACGTTTCGGAGGAACATAGCACCTCCATCTTCAGGGTCGAAAATTAGGCGAACAACATTTTCCTCCGAAACGGTTGTTAAAATTTCGAAGGACTACACTGCGTTATATCCAAAAGATATTACCCTTCACCCCCTTACTACTGTTTAAAAGTGATTCTGTGCTTTTATTTATCTGTTCATAATTTTATCATTAAACTATCTCCACAGACGAGAAGCAGATGTGTTCGGTTCAGTTGCAATGTCTCCTCCCTTGGAACTTCACCATCTCATGAACGTTCAAACCATCGCTGTGGCCATAGGACCTCAGGTCCTGTGATCAGTCCGTGCTGGAATGCGAAGGGACGATCATGAGCACAAGGTGGCCATGAAAGTCTGGCATGCACCCTCCGAGGGCAGGCACAGCCCAAAGGCTTCCAGTAACAACTGTTCCTCTCTCACGGCTGTCTGGAAATCCTGGAACGAAATCTTACCATCTCGATCTGTGTCTAACTTCCGCAGCACAAGTTCGACTAGATCCTTAACACCTTCATCAGGGTCTTCATCCCCCGGTTGCTTCATCAGGCAGTTTCTGCAAACAAAGGTCATCATTTGGAGAAATCCCGTATCGCTTTCTTACGTCTGAGTCAGTAATTATCAGATATTGCATGAAATGAAAGCATAACAACAAGATTGAGTCTGTCCTTCGGCATCTGTCATTGCATCACATGTCCGATAACACAGACATTCAGTGTGCCTAAACTGACCTATGGCGTAGTGAGTAAAGTGATTAGATTGCGACATGAATGAACAGGATCAATTTCGATTCCCGGCAGGGCAATAAATTCTTCTGTGCCGTATAGACTGGCTCTGGGGCCCAATTCTATCTCTTATCGACTGGGTACCGTGGCCTCTTGTTTCGGCGGGGGTAAGCGCCTGGAGCATGAAGCTGACCAGAATCTTAGAATCCATGGAATTAGACCTCCTCTCCTCCCACATTCCTCCATTTCTTCACATTTAGCGATCAATGACGTTTTTTGCCATATTTTTTTCCTTGACACTACAGCCCCAATGGGCCTAGGCCTACCTCCATGAGCTTCTCCGTTCACTTCGGTTTTTCTTGATCTTACACATTCGGTAGGGCTCCTTGGACGGGTGATCAGCTCGTCGCAAGGCCTCTACCTGTACACAAACACAGAAAAACGCTCACACACACAAACTAAATATCCATGCCCTGAGTGGGATTCGAACCCACGATCCCGGTTACCAAGCGAGCGAAGACAATACATGCCTTAGACCGCTCGGCTACCGTGACCGTCTTTTGTGCCATATAGACAACCACTTTTGTTAGAAAATGTAATAAAAATGAATATAATTCATAGCCCCGGACGGTGTCTGATCAGGGTTGTCTATTAGCGGGTTCTGCTACCAGAGGTTCGACGGTTTACCCACTTGAGGAGGCTGAACATCTCATCGCGCGTGATGAAGCCGTCATTGTTCAGGTCATACACGAGGAAGCAGAAGGCGGTTCGCTCCTCCAGTGTTCCGCGCAAGAACACGGACAGGCCGGACATCCAGTCCTCGAGCCGGACGCTCCCGCAGCAGGTCCTGTCGAAAGCGCAGAAGATGCGGTCCATCAGCACATCTTCCGTGACAAGGTCGAACGCGTTGTGGAGAAGCTCCCTGAACACAGCTCGGTCCAGGCCCTGCTGAGGTTTCAAAACTCTTAGCTGATCGTTCTACTGAACCAGTGTTAGAGAGAGGCTGTTGATGAGGTCGTAGCCACAAAATGGACGACTGTTGTTGAATCTTGATAGCGTCAGAATAATTTATATTAATCAATGTATGATGGAAGAATATGCAGCGCCACGCGGTAGCGTAGTTGGTTGAGGCACTATGCTACAAGCCGGAAGGTCGCGGGTTCAAGTCCCGATGAGGTCATTGAATTTTTCAATTGACCTAATCCTTCCGGCCGCACTATGGCTCTGGGGTTCACTCAGCCTCTAACAGAAATGAGTACTAGGAATTATTTAAATAATTTTCCTGGGGAGTAAAGCGCGGCCGGCGCGTAGGGCTGACAACCTTACCGCCATCTTTGAGCCGATTATCTAGATAGTGTGGGACCCTCAACGTCTCACAACCCTATGGGCCTTCACGGCTCGTTACAGGGATAGCTTTACTTTTTTACTTTACTTTTTATGATGGAAGTTATTTGAGAACGGGATTCTGAGTAGAATATTAGATCGAAGAGGAATGAAACACTGGGACGAAGAAAACTGAATACTGAGGAGGTCTATACCTTGCACACTTCGCCAAACATAATTAAAACGATCAAGTCAAAGAAGGTGGGATTAGCAGTGTATGTAGAGAGGAAGAAGAGGCGCTTGCCAAATATTATCAGGACTGCCAACTTAATGAGGATAAACAGGAGAGAGCAGAGGGGTGGAGTGTGTACGGGGGTTTCTAAGAAAACTTGAAGAAGGGAATACTTAAATGAATGAGGGGTGGGCCTTCTCGGCCCTTGCACCGCGACCTACAGCGATCTATTGTGCTTTGAGGAGAACACGTTGAAGACCTAGATGTAGATGGGAGAATGATATTGAAATGGTGCTTAGTAAAAAAGCCTAGAAGGATGTGGATTCGATTAATCTGGCTCAGGTTAGAGATCAATGACTGACTCCTATAAATATAGTAACAAACATTCGGGTTCAGTAAACTGCTAGGCATTCTTCTGTGGCTCAGCAAATATTGGCTTCTCAAGAAGTACTCAAATGAATGAAGTTAGTTAAGTAGTTGGTTGGTTCCTTAGTTAGTTATGATCTACAAGAACGTAGAGTTCATACTATATAAAACAAAAGCATCATGATAGATTATTCGTAAGTTTTCCACAAAAAAACGATCTGCTGCAGAGAGGAAAATGGAAAATATAACTGCAGATTTGTTACAGGAGTAAACCCTCGCTAATTCGGAGTAACTGGAGGGAAAACAACAATCCGTATTAGTGAAGCAATCGGAAGCCTTAAAGAAATTAGAAAGGAGACTGAAAACTTAAAGTACTGCTGATGGAAACAAATATATTTTCTGTAGAGTCTTTTATTATGCTACAAGCCGGAAGGTTGCGGGTTTGATTCCCGATGATATCATTGGATTTCTCAATTGACCTAATCCTTCCAGCCGCACTATGGCCTCACTCACTATGGCCACACTTAGCCTTTAGCAGAAATGGGTACCAGTAATCTTCCTGGATGGTAAAGGACGGCCGGCTCGTAAGTCTGACAACCTTACAGCCATCTGTGATTCGATTATCTAGAAAATGTTGGATCCTCGACGTTTCACAACCCTATGGGCCTCCACGGCCTGTTACAGGGATACCTTTACTGTAGAGTCTTTAACTAAGAACTATAAGAAAGAATACATTTATTCATCGATAGAAGACTCAGGAGTTGTACTTTTTTAACGTAATAATTGAGGTTTGAAGAAACGGTCAGGTTTTGGCTGAACACAAAAGTGAATCGTCGGCCTTCCTAATGCAACGTGTCTTTTAAATGATGTGCTCAACCGTGAAGAGCATTTCCAATCCGGATTATCCAACATCCGAATTAACTGTGACCGGATTATCAAAGATTTATTGTACTTCAGGGTAAGCGCTGTCACTACACGAGTTATAAAGCGTGAAGGAAAAGCTATTCTTGTTAACATGCCGTTGCGGCCCATTGGGCTGTGAGACGTCGAGGCTCCCACATTTTCTAGACAATCAGCTCACAGATGGCGGTAAGGTTGTCAGCCTTAAGTGCCGGCCACCCATTACCCCCAGAAAGATTCGTAGTACAGTTGATGTTTTCTGCGGCATACCTCACAGACACCGGGAGCTGCACCACCAGAGGTTAGCAGAGCCCCCTGTCCACTTCCAGCCGCCTGTCCGGCCATCATATCCGCACTGCTGGCCACTAGTTTCTGATATACACGGACCAGAGCTTCCGTCTCCTGCCTGACAGAAAAGAAAAACTCTAAAAGTGTAGATTTTGTGGAAGAAACTATTACCGACACACTATTTTCATTAGCTACTCTTCAATGCCTCCACTCATAGAAGCCACTACAGATATGCCGCAAGACAATATGAATAGACATTTCAGTGACCCTAAAGAGCCTATCATATAAAACACAACTTTGGACTTTACAATGACAAGACAATAAAAAAAGTATCCGCCTCTGCCCATGTTTGGACTACAGCATGTTACTAATTTCAAGTGTTTTCAACATCTCTGCCCATGTTTGGACTACAGAATGTTACTAATTCCAAGTGTTTTCAAGATCTCTGTCCATGTTTGGACTGCAGAATGTTACTGATTCCAAGTGTTTACAAGATCTCTGCCCATGTTTGGACTACAGAATGTTACTAATTCCAAGTGTTTTCAAGATCTCTGTCCATGTTTGGACTGCAGAATATTACTGAGTTCAAATGTTTTCAAGACCTCATCCAAAGTTTGGACTACAGAATGTTACTGAGTTCAAACGTTTTCAAGACTTCAGCCCATGTTTGGACTACAGAATGTTACTAATTCCAAGTGTTTACAAGATCTCTGCCCATGTTTGGACTACAGAATGTTACTAATTTCAAGTGTTTTCAAGATCTCTGTCCATGTTTGGACTGCAGAATATTACTGAGTTCAAATGTTTTCAAGACCTCATCCAAAGTTTGGACTACAGAATGTTACTGAGTTCAAACGTTTTCAAGACTTCAGCCCATGTTTGGACTACAGAATGTTACTAATTCCAAGTGTTTACAAGATCTCTGCCCATGTTTGGACTACAGAATGTTACTAATTTCAAGTGTTTTCAAGATCTCTGCCCATGTTTTGACTACAGAATGTTACTAATTTCAAGTGTTTTCAATATCTCTGTCCATGTTTGGACTACAGAATGTTACTAATTTCAAGTGTTTTCAATATCTCTGTCCATGTTTGGACTACAGAATATTACTGAGTTCAAATTTTTTCAAGACCTCATCCAAAGTTTGGACTACGGAATGTTACTGAGTTAAAATGTTTTCAAGATTTACAGTTATACTTCACTTAAATGACTTTCAATTATTTTAATATTTTAAATAAAATGTCTAAAGTTTCCTCAGCAATGGCCAGTCGAGGCCTAAACATGTCGAGCTGTATGCTTATTAAACAATTAAAATATGTTATTTCCTTGGTGACTGTTTTATACTTATCTGAAAGTCCTCCTCTCTCAATTGCAGGTCCTACACTTCTCTCCCACAACATAGCCTGGAGATCTACATTACTCAAGTTAAGTTATCCAGTCTCAAGCAAAACAACTCATTCAGGCATGAAAGAACTTTCCCTTTCCTGCGACTGAGTTGAATGGAGTATTGAATCCATAGTTCCTTCACCTTTATGAACTTTGTTGCATTCTGACATTGTGCCTAACACAATAGCATATATACGCCCTTCTTACTTTAAACTTATTGGCTGGATAAGGGCGTCAGTGGCGGGAGTTCTGTCGTCACCGCCGTGTCCAGACCGGCTCTGAGGGTTCTCCGAACCATCTACCTCGGCTCATTCCTGGAGGCAAAATGAACTGAGCGTGCAACTGACTGTCTCCAGCTTGTGCAGAGGTTAAGAATGTATGGACTTCACTGCTACTCTCTATCAACCTTGATGGTGGGTGCGTACACACAAGGTCAGATTAACTTTTTAGGATTTGAGGTTCCCACAATGGCGGTTATGAAGAGTTCAATCTTCCGGTACATAACGCCGTGTGATCCATTGCCCTGCTTGCCACGTGCTTTCACGTTGGTTTCTTGCTCGCATTCTTCTTCGGCCCTGAAATGGAGGCGACATATTCCTCCGAAACGACAGCAGACTTTCAAAGGACTAAACGGTTTCATATCTCAGTTTAAGTTTGCTTTTGTTGTTACGGTTTATTTGAAGACACAGTAAGTTGTGTCAGATTACATGCGGTCGAATTGTCAGTCAGTGATAATTTGGAAGAGGTGCTTTCAGGCAGCAGTTGTGGTCTAAATGCTGGTACTTCTCCTGCATTTCTCTGGACGAAATGAAGAGAACTGCAAAAACCCTCAGAATATTCCATTTCCTAACCTGTAATCTACACTGGCCGTCCCGAGTGGCAGCGCTTTAATGAACTTGATGGTCAACGTAACTACGTGTATTACTGTGAGCTTTTCTCCTTACAAGAAATCCAATGTTGGCCATGACCGAAAGGCGGTTTCGCTCTATGCATGAGGCCTATTTGCTGTATAGGCACATTCAGCTGGTCGTAATTCAAGTGAAAATTAAGCTACATAACAAGAAAACAGCAGAACGTCGTGTGAAGCACAGTTACTAGTAATGTTGTTACAATAGGAGATCCCTCGGAATTGGTGACTTACTTACTTACTTACTCGTGGAGCTGAGCCCTACTTGAGGAGCCGCCAATTCTGCAGCTACTCAAGAATTTCCCAGCATTTTATGGAACACAAAGGTTAATTACCTTGTTCACAAGAGCCCTCCACTGGTCCCTATCGTGAGCCAGATCAATCCAATCCACAGCATCCCATCTCTCTAAGATCTATTCTAATATTGTCCACCCACCTATGTCTTAGTCTTCCCAGTGATCTCTTTCCTTCTGGCTTTCCCACCAATTTCCTATACGCATTCATCGTCTCCCCCATTCATGCTACATGACCTGCCCACCTCATCCTCCTTGACTTGATCATTCTAATGATACTTGGAGAAGAGTACAAGTTATGAAGCTCCTCATTATGCAGTTTTCTCCACCCTCCTGTCACTTCCAAAATTGGTGACATTTACATGAATATTATCTAAAAGAGGACGAGTGTAGCTTATCGATACCTAGGACTGTATCGTTTATTCAAGATTTTCGTCTCTCGGATTAATGTTTAAATAAGCCCGAAATTTTGTTTAGCCCCTTAAGTACGAGGAATTTGGTCCTTAAAAGCAATTAAAGTGAATGAAATTCGCTCTAACACGCATTCGTGTCTATATCAAATTGTACCCAGAATATACCCGTAACGGTTGGTATAGGTCCTGAAACAAAGTATTCATTAAAAGAAATTAAAGCAAATTAAACTTGCATTTTCTAACACTGATTTGTTAGAAAAAGAATTATGTCAGTTGCATCGGATTCTGTTTCAGAAGCTCAAAAAATCTGGGCCCTAAAGAGGATCAAGCGAACGACATGTTATGCAGGGTTCGTGCATATAGGCCTATGTAGCAAACACAGGAGATGCAGGCGAAGTTAAATTAAATTATTATGTGCAGCGGTCTTTTTCCAATGGCTCTACATTCCCCTTCGGCCCTGGCCTCTGATTTTTCAGTTTCATGTTCAATTTACAGACGGCAGGACTCCTTGGACGAGTGTTCAGCCTGACGCAAGGCCTCTACACGAGACAACACAAACACAGAATAAACACACATACTAAACATCCTTGCCTTGTGCTGGACCCGAACCCACGATCCCGGCTTCCGAGCGAGCGAAGACAGTATATGACTTAGACCGCTCGGCTACCGTGACCGGCGTAGCAGCCTTTAGACTTAATAAATTTAAAAAACGTAAAGTTACTCCCCCCTCCCCCCCCCGGTTATTTGACCATGCCACGAGGACGTACCCTGGACGAGGCATTGTTGCACGTGTTCCTAATCTCGGGGCTGCATCCAGGTGAGTGGACGCCGTAACGTCTGACCGCTTTAACTATGGATGAAGGGACCCTAGTATCCATTAGTTAGGAGGCTGGGGGGGGGGGGCTTTGCCGGTTCGGATACCGTCGAGTACAACAAATATTTCTTACTCTTACTCAGTTCCTTCCATGTCGAGCTCGTAACATAGTTACAATACGGAGTGAGCTATATTGACTCCAACGTGATTGAACTTTGCTTATGATAACCGTGTATGGTACCCGGTTTCATCAGAATATGCAAAACACGGAACAAATAATTTGGGGTCTTTGGAGTAAAGTGTCTCATTGGAACAGAATCAGAATTAAAATTACCCTGCGAANGAAATGAGATGGATTTTGTTATATTTTAGCGTCCTGTTGCACTGATTTATGTCCATGATTTATTCTGACCGTCTTACAGTGCATACATTTATTCACCTTACTCTTCTCTCTTGCACTACATGTTTCAGCACTAAAGTGTCATCTTCAGGCGCTTTTCTATGTACATCATTGCATGCCCTGTTGTCTTTATACTAAAATAACTAAAATATATATGACGAATATATATTTTAGATTAGTATAAAGACAACAGGACATGCAATGCAGTAGTTCGACGTACATCGAAAAGCACCTGAAGATGACACTTTAGTGCTGAAACATGTAGTGCAAGAGAGAAGAGTAAGGTGAATACATGTATGCACTGTAAGACGGTCAGAATAAATCATGGACATAAATCAGTGCAACAGGACGCTAAAATATAACAAAATCCATCTCATTTCATGTGAACATCACGAAATAGGAACGTGTCTTCGATTCTCTTAAACACAGAAACTCTAAAAGTGAAGGGGCGGTCATTTTGTAAATTGCGATTCTGTTTCCGTTTAAGTTCTATAATAAACATTTTTAATTGAAAGTAATTTAAATTTGTCTATTATATTTGAAGTTGACAGTGAAGAGGACTGCCTTCTGGTACGTGACCAACCAAACAAACATTTGTAATGTATTTAGATTTACACCGATGCTTTTTCACTATGAAACGCTTTACGAGCAAAAAATATATACGTGTATATCCGGCAACCCAAAAAAGAGTTTTAATTTAATTATCAAACCGGATGTCGGGGACACGCGGTAGTGTAGTTGGTTGAGGTACTATGCTACAAGCCGGAAGGTCGCGGGTTCAAGTCCCGATGAGGTCATTGGATTTTTTCAATTGACCTAATCCTTCCAGCCCCACTATGGCCCTGGGGTCGACTCAGCCTCTAAATGAAATGAGTACCAGGAATATTCTTGGGGGTAAAGGCCGGCCGGCGCGTAAGGCTGACAACCTTACCACCATCTAGAAAATGTGGGAACCTCAACGTCTCACAACCCTATAGGCCTCCACATCCTGTTACAGGAATACTTTTACTTTTTTTTTACTTACTTTATGAAACTGGATGTCAGAAGCATCCTTTCGTTTTGTAAAACTGACAAAAATTCAGGAATCTTCCTTTGTTTTATGTTACAAGTAAAAAGATATATAATATGTCATTTATTTTCCTAGGCTATATGTCATAAATGTCACAGAGCAAATGGTTGACTGAAATGTGACGTAAATACAGGCTCTGCCTCTTATCGATTTTCTGGATGCGTGTTCGTATTACACAAGAACGCAGAGGTATGATCGAATTGACTACACGTGTCCTCCTACGTTATGTCGTTTCGATTTTGGTTTTCTCTATGCTTTTCATTTTCATTCCTAACAGACGTAAATGAATTACTGCAAGGCTTGTCATGTTACTGATATACGTTCTTCAATTATGTTTCCTTGCACCTGTTTAAATACTCTCCCCATATGAATTACCTTTCATGAAGAAGTTTTATTTTACGATAATACAGAATACCTTTATTTCTAAAACTCAATACACGGGCATATGCAGAAGGGCTTGCTGTGTAAAAATCCGAGTTTATATTCTCTGTTCCTTGCAAGTGCACAGGCTTGCCACTAGACCGGAAAATGACATACACATCTCAAGCACTGTGAAATAATTCCTTACGCTGTAATATTCATTAATGTTCAGGATGCAGTACAGCTCGATTGAATTATATATGTGACGAGTGTAAAGAAACTTCTTCAGAAGTTAATAACCATCTGGGTAGGAAGTTCTATGGAAGTCTGAAGTTCACTATTAAAGTTATAAAACCTCACGGCTGGATCCTAATATGAGGTAATCCAGCTCCTAGCTACAGATAGCTTGTCTAAGAACCGTACTACCTCTCAAATATGCCTCGGCATCCTGCCTTGACTTCCTTCCGAACTCAGTACCCTAGTCATGTCATGTCCGCCCATGACGTTGCAAACGTCGTGGCCATGTGAAGCTTCTTCAGTTAATTGTCTTAACAATATAAAACGTCTTTATTGAGGCCGTCACAACACAACTATGTCAAGGTCAGTGCCTGGTTTTGCCTCTGCTACATGTTTCGGCTATTAATAGCTATCATCAGGCAAATACATGGCTAACATATATACACCACTGAACTGCAGTATTAATAAAATTGGATACAATAATATGTATTATATTAAAATAATTTACGTAAAAATACAACAAATTAGATTATATAAAACAAAAGTTATAGTATAAAACAAGAATAAAATACTTCGATTGATGCTTTACGTAATCGATTCAGTCGTTGGTTTTTGTGAGTTTGTTTCGTTCCCATGGACAAATTGGAGTATTCTATATTTTGTGTATAAGAACTGTTATTGGAGGCTCGTAATGTAGATGTAGTAATATTAATGTTAATTAGTATTTAGTCGGTGCCTCATCTTACAAAGTATTGTCTGTTCTGTAGGGAATGTAAACAACGACGCCTTGTAGCGGAGCCAAAACCAGGCACTGACCTTGATATAGTTGTGTTGTAACGGTCTTAATAAAGAAGTTATATTATTATAACACAACAGGATGCATGAAATGAAAAGAGAAAGATTAGCAATATAAGCTGAAGACTACAAGGTCTGTTCACAAGCCGAAATATGCTCTTATATGTGACTTTCTTTCAGCACAAGTCAAATAATATTGAGTTCTCCCTTCACCAGCACTTAACATAATTCTGACTACAAGTATTTTAACTTAAACGCATTTTTGGTGTGAAGAACCATGAACTGTATGTGAATGGTAACACTAGCCACATTTTCGCTGTCCATCGTCATTCTGCAATTTGTACATATGAATCCTCCTTTATCACTGGNACTATTAAAGTTATAAAACCTCACGGCTGGATCCTAATATGAGGTAATCCAGCTCCTAGCTACAGATAGCTTGTCTAAGAACCGTACTACCTCTCAAATATGCCTCGGCATCCTGCCTTGACTTCCTTCCGAACTCAGTACCCTAGTCATGTCATGTCCGCCCATGACGTTGCAAACGTCGTGGCCATGTGAAGCTTCTTCAGTTAATTGTCTTAACAATATAAAACGTCTTTATTGAGGCCGTCACAACACAACTATGTCAAGGTCAGTGCCTGGTTTTGCCTCTGCTACATGTTTCGGCTATTAATAGCTATCATCAGGCAAATACATGGCTAACATATATACACCACTGAACTGCAGTATTAATAAAATTGGATACAATAATATGTATTATATTAAAATAATTTACGTAAAAATACAACAAATTAGATTATATAAAACAAAAGTTATAGTATAAAACAAGAATAAAATACTTCGATTGATGCTTTACGTAATCGATTCAGTCGTTGGTTTTTGTGAGTTTGTTTCGTTCCCATGGACAAATTGGAGTATTCTATATTTTGTGTATAAGAACTGTTATTGGAGGCTCGTAATGTAGATGTAGTAATATTAATGTTAATTAGTATTTAGTCGGTGCCTCATCTTACAAAGTATTGTCTGTTCTGTAGGGAATGTAAACAACGACGCCTTGTAGCGGAGCCAAAACCAGGCACTGACCTTGATATAGTTGTGTTGTAACGGTCTTAATAAAGAAGTTATATTATTATAACACAACAGGATGCATGAAATGAAAAGAGAAAGATTAGCAATATAAGCTGAAGACTACAAGGTCTGTTCACAAGCCGAAATATGCTCTTATATGTGACTTTCTTTCAGCACAAGTCAAATAATATTGAGTTCTCCCTTCACCAGCACTTAACATAATTCTGACTACAAGTATTTTAACTTAAACGCATTTTTGGTGTGAAGAACCATGAACTGTATGTGAATGGTAACACTAGCCACATTTTCGCTGTCCATCGTCATTCTGCAATTTGTACATATGAATCCTCCTTTATCACTGGTAAATATTGTCGCGTATCGGGCGTATAACGCGACAAATAACTTCACGTCGTATTTTATATAGCGAATCTTATTTCACATTCGCACCTACAATCACCCAAATTACAGATTTACGATTACTGCTATCTGCAGTATCACAAATAGTGCACTCCAAATGCCACAAGACAACTGACTGGTTGCTGGCTAACTCGGAACTAACTCGGAGGTAGCTCGAGGACTCACTCGGCGGTAGCTCCAGGACTAACTGTGAATAGCCTTCGCTGCGCCTCATATAGCCTCGATCGGACCATACAGAAAACGGCCACGTAATAAGCACCCTTGTTGCCTGGCGCTGTGTTGCTAGCAACGCTAGCGGTAGTAACCGCTGTTACTACCGTCGTCTCTCGCAATCCTGTTGCGTCACCGTTACGTTACCGTGCGGAGGAGGGGAGGGGAGCGCTGACTCACCCGCCGCATCACTGCTGGTGGGGGGGTTCTCCTTTGCGCAACATGTCACAATATGCATATAATTTTTTATTAAATACCCTAAACTTATCGCTTGTAAGGTAATTCTACAGGCCGCGCCATAGCTCAAGCGGTTAGTCGCTGGCTTCCCACCGCGACGGCCAGGGTTCGATCCCGGGTCTGGTCAAGTGGCATTTATGGTGGACAAAGTGGCGCTGGGGTAGGTTTTCTCCGAGTACTTCGGTTTCCCCTGCCAATCTTTATTCCACCAATTGCTCCACAGTCACCCTCACCTATCATCTGTGGCTGGTACAATAGGCCAGAAGTGGCCGCAGTATAGAGACTTAGTCCCACCCCACTGGCAATAAATAGATGGTAATTCTAAAGAGTTCTGACGATGGTGTACTCGTATAACACACGGGCTTACTTGCTTTTTGGACTTTTTCCATCCGGTATTCTAGAAAATATAAAACACGACGTTTCGGAAACTGGATCTGCTTCGGTCTTCAGGTGAGGGGAGAAGTCCAAAAACCTAGTAATTCTGCGGTTGTAAGGTGCTTTTCGCAAAGCAGACATGAATGTCTGATGCGAAAGGCGCGTCTCCCTGTCTCCCTGTCTCCTGCCCGAACTGCTGACAGATTTTCTTAAAATTCAAAATGAGATATTTCCACTATAATTTGTGGGAGAAATCCAACGTTTAGCCACAGTGATCCACAATAGGGCCATAAACAGACGTTTCCTTATATTCTATAAACTTTTTCATAGATATTGTTGAAATTTGATATGGTAGATTTCCACCAAATGTTATTTGGCATTTCCGACATTCAGCCATATTGATCTGTAATTCAGCCTTTATTACGTAAGGATATAAACGGATTTCTACGCATCCCATAAAACTTTTCACGTATTTTGTTGAAAGTCAATATGCCACAAAAACTCCGTGGCTTGAGTCCGCAAGTGAACTATACCGACCGAGCGACAGCCGCTTGTCGGCGAAGTTAGTGCCAACTTTAGCGGATAGAGGGTGTCGCGTGGTCAGCGCAACGGATCCCCACGGTCGTTAATCTCGGTTTTCTAGACCTGTGTTCATATTTATGTTCATAAATTTCTTTAGCCCTTCTTTGCATCGCCACATATTTTACTAATTTTAAGAAAAAGCGGAAATTCTGGTTGTCTTTGAGGCTTCAGAGAAAGTAGGAAATAAAATTTAAGAATTCGTTCTTAGGGGACGAGATGGAAGGATCGTGTAGTCAGCATGCATGAAGACAGTTGGCTCAAAAGTAAACTATAAATGAATGTAAAGGGAGAAATGAGAAGGAAGTTACAGAAGAAGGAAGAGAGAAAGGAATGAATGGGACTCGCTTGTGTAGGCCCCATTTTGTCAGCTGTAAGTGGACCTCACCTGCTGAAATGCGTGTTCCTCCTAAGCGCCTCCACTATCCTGGGTAAGCACTTCGCCTCATCACCCATCTTCCTGCTTCGTGCCTCCTTCACACTGACTCCGTCGCCCTGTCGTTCTGTCCTCGACTTCCAGGCTGCAGCAGCCGCAGCGGCAGCTACTGACGCTTTGCGTCCGCTTGTCACGAACAGTGAGACGCTCTTGATAAGCGCCTCCCCCTTTCCAATGCGCCGCGCAGGTATGGTCTCCATGGCAACGTTACACATTCCTCATCTGTCTGCACATGAAACAGTGACACAAATTATCATAAGGTAGACCTCCACAATTTCTTCACACGCTTTGTTTCTTGGCTCAATAATCCAAATTCGACATGACCGTGTGTTTTCTACGGTTTTTTTAACAGTCCTCCATTAAGGACATTTATGCTACCGAATTACTTCCATCCTGAGATGCATTTATGTTGATGAGGGGGAAAGGATTGGAGCTTATGATATTATTATTATTGAGGGCAGCAGTCTTCTTGGATGTGGCGCCGTGTAAATATTTTGTTAACTGACGTTTCGGAGGAACGTATCGCCTCCATGTTCAGGGTATAAGAAAGAAAAAAGAAAATCCGCAATCGAGGAACCGGTGTGAGCAGGTGCAAAAAGACTAACACAATATATACACTGCGCCACATCCCAGAAGACTGCTTTCTTCATAGTCACCGACGTGAAAACCTCAAACCTTACATTATTATTATTATTATTATTATTATTATTATTATTATTATTATTCGGCCATTTTACGCACAGTGAAATAGCACTAACTAGTTCCCGTGCCTGCCTGAAGCTTAATTTGGTTACATGAAATACTTCAGTTTGGGGCTTTCGACGTGATTGTGGGTCCATCTGTCTACTCTGAAGCGTTCCTTCAGCTCCTGGACAATATGTTCAGAGCTTTACTGAGCCCTACACGTGGGGCCATTATAAGAAGTTATAATTTTGTTAACGCCCTAACAATGCAACTCATCCGAGACTAACGAGCATTTCTATTCTCACTTAAACTACTACTGCTAGAACTAAACTCTGAGACTGCGCCCAGCATCTGGTGTCTTGAGCACATTGTTGTCGCACCCACTTCACTATTTACACTAGCGCGCACTTACACTTGCACTAGACTAGTTCAAACGGCTTGAGTCTCTTGAGCCTTCTCGCTGTCCTCTCGTTGTCAAGAAGCTGTGTCGCTTCCACGTTGTTGTGGTGGTAAAGCCGATCTTCGTGCTTCTTGGCTATCCTCTCGTTGTCAAGAAGCTGTAACGCTTCCACGTTGCTGTGGTGGTGAAGACGATCCTCTTGCTTCTTGGCTGTCCTCTCGTTGTCAAGACGTTTTGTCGCTTCCACGTTGCTGTGGTGGTAAAGCCGATCTTCGTGCTTCTTGGCTATCCTCTTGTCAAGAAGCTGTAACGCTTCCCCGTTGCTGTGGTCGTGAAGCCGATCTTCGTGCTTCTTGGCTATCCTCTTGTCAAGAAGCTGTAACGCTTCCCCGTTGCTGTGGTCGTGAAGCCGATCTTCGTGCTTCTTGGCTATCCTCTTGTCAAGAAGCTGTAACGCTTCCCCGTTGCTGTGGTCGTGAAGCCGATCTTCGTGCTTCTTGGCTATCCTCTTGTCAAGAAGCTGTAACGCTTCCCCGTTGCTGTGGTCGTGAAGCCGATCTTCGTGCTTCTTGGCTATCCTCTTGTCAAGAAGCTGTAACGCTTCCCCGTTGCTGTGGTCGTGAAGCCGATCTTCGTGCTTCTTGGCTATCCTCTTGTCAAGAAGCTGTAACGCTTCCCCGTTGCTGTGGTCGTGAAGCCGATCTTCGTGCTTCTTGGCTATCCTCTTGTCAAGAAGCTGTAACGCTTCCCCGTTGCTGTGGTCGTGAAGCCGATCTTCGTGCTTCTTGGCTATCCTCTTGTCAAGAAGCTGTAACGCTTCCCCGTTGCTGTGGTCGTGAAGCCGATCTTCGTGCTTCTTGGCTATCCTCTTGTCAAGAAGCTGTAACGCTTCCCCGTTGCTGTGGTCGTGAAGCCGATCTTCGTGCTTCTTGGCTATCCTCTTGTCAAGAAGCTGTAACGCTTCCCCGTTGCTGTGGTCGTGAAGCCGATCTTCGTGCTTCTTGGCTATCCTCTTGTCAAGAAGCTGTAACGCTTCCCCGTTGCTGTGGTCGTGAAGCCGATCTTCGTGCTTCTTGGCTATCCTCTTGTCAAGAAGCTGTAACGCTTCCCCGTTGCTGTGGTCGTGAAGCCGATCTTCGTGCTTCTTGGCTATCCTCTTGTCAAGAAGCTGTAACGCTTCCCCGTTGCTGTGGTCGTGAAGCCGATCTTCGTGCTTCTTGGCTATCCTCTTGTCAAGAAGCTGTAACGCTTCCCCGTTGCTGTGGTCGTGAAGCCGATCTTCGTGCTTCTTGGCTATCCTCTTGTCAAGAAGCTGTAACGCTTCCCCGTTGCTGTGGTCGTGAAGCCGATCTTCGTGCTTCTTGGCTATCCTCTTGTCAAGAAGCTGTAACGCTTCCCCGTTGCTGTGGTCGTGAAGCCGATCTTCGTGCTTCTTGGCTATCCCTTTAGTTTCGGCAGTGACCATCCTAATGCCAGATCCCTGTGGATGTCGCTATTGCGGGCGTACCAAGGGGGCATTTACTGTTCCCCTCAGCACTTTGTTCTGACATCTCTGGCCCCTGAATGTTACTCTTGCTGGCACAAACCCCACAGCTGTATTCCTCGCCGGTTTTATGACCTGGTTGTTTTGTACTGATAGCTGGGACGTCCTACCCTAGATCCACTTCACTTTCTGGTATTTCATGTTAAGTTCTTCTGTTTCCTTTTTCACGTGCTCTTTCCGTCGCAGTTTAGCGTCTAGCGTCATTCCTAAATACTTTGCCATGTTCGAATGAAAGTTACAAATGAAGTATGAATTGTGAGTTCAGGTTAATCATGAATCAAATCTGGGCAAACGTAATTTAATAACTGTAATACCTAGTAATATCCATGTTAGGTGGGTCCCTTGTCACGACGGCATGGCGCGTACTCAGGTTGTGGATGGAGGAGACGCCTTCAAGATCTGGAGGGAAGCTGCACGTATATTGAATAAGCAGTCGTGGACAGCCGACAAGGGGTGATCCTCCAGCTTGGGGGTTGGTCGTGAGGCTAACAGCTTCTCACGGTGAAAATCAACTTGTTACAAAAATCCTCAAGAAGATTTTACAAGATTGTATTCATTCCGTGTTTTTCTAATGGCTCTTCCAGCCCATTAAGGGCCCAGGCCCCTGATTCAGTTCCGTAATCATTTTGCAGAGATGGTAGGACTCCTTGGACGAGTCATTAGTCCGTCGCAAGGCCGCTACCTACACACAGGGTAACACAAACACAGAATAAACGCATACACACACCGAACATCCATGTCTTGCGTGGGATTCGAACCCACGATCCCAGCGTCCAAGCGAGCGAAGACATTTCATGCCTTACGCCGCGGGGCCACTGTGACCGGCACTTCCGTGTTGTTACTACTGAAAGTTAAATGAGTAACTGCCATAAATAATTCATGCTTTACTTACATGACGAAAGCTTACGGGAATCGCATACTCTCTGCGTGTTTTACATCTCTTAATGTCGTGTCAGTCCTGATTACGTGAATTGGAGCGTAAGTTCCATTGTATGTATCACGCCTAATCTAATTCTGAATCCTTGTTTTGCTGATAACTCTCTCTCTCTCTTTGAATGTTCAGGGAAGTTCACGCCCGGGCATGGATCCGCGTGCTATGTCACGGAAACTATCGAAAGAATTTTGATTAATTTTGCCACTGCGGTTCACACTGTAAGCCGTCGACTGAATTTAATTCTGATCAATACCTTCCCTTTCAATATAATCATCCTACAAGAAGATCAAGTCAAAACATATCGATATTATCACAACCGTCTAACATTACGTATTTTCAAGCGTAACATAAATTTGAGGAAGAAACTAGTGAAATACTACATTTGGAGCATAGCTCTGTATGGGGCTGAAACTTGGACACTTAGGGCAGTAGATCAGAAACATCTGGAAAGCTTCGAAATGTGGTGTTGGAGAAGAATGGAGAAGATCAGTTGGACCGATTATGTGAGAAATGAAGAAGTGTTACTTAGAGTCAGTGAGCAGAGGAATATCCTACACGAAATAAGAAAACGGAAGGCTAATTGGATTGGTCATATCTTACGCAGTAACTGCCTTCTAAAAGAAGTTATTGGAGGAAAGATAGAGGGGCGGATAGAAGTGACCAGAAGACGAGGAAGAAGACGTAAGAAGATACTGGATGACCTTGGGGACAGAAGAGGATATTTTCATTTGAAGGAGAAAGCTCTAGATCGCATCAAGTGGAGGAACTGTTTTGGAAGAGACTGTGGACCTGTCGTCTTGACAGATTACTGATGATGATGAACATAACATAAATGTATTAGCCTAGAACTTACGAATGCCTACTAATTTCCTTGAGTCATTTCTCGATATGGTGAATATTTAACGAAATAGGCAGACAGATGCTTTCAGATATTTTTCAGTGTAGTGGGAATATGCATTTGACGTTCACGTTTTTTTTAAATACATGAACATCAAGACCAATGAGATATGCAAATAAATATAAACAAGAAGTTCTGGGAAGACACAGACAGCAAGGTGATCCTATAGGCCTTTTCAGTTTTTCCCAAATAAGAAAAATAGGCTAGAAATAGACCCGCATGTAGTCGGGAGCACATTGAAGCTATCCTTTACGACTTCTTGCAACATGTAATGACCTCTGCGCAAACTCGAATGCAAGGGTGTAGAGATGACGATGGAGGTCGCCTGCAAAATTCAATTTCCAGATGCTGGTGGTTAGGATCAATTTCCCATCGAATTGTGTATGTATCTGTACAAATGTAACAATCTTCAACATTATGTTCGTTAGCTATTTAGTTTAAGAAACTCTCAAGGCGCGTCCACATTACTCGTGCTCGTCGGGAGACTCGTCTGGCTTTTACTTGTGCTCGTAAATCTTCGTCCACACTACTTCAGTTGCTTGCCAGGCTTCGGCGCGTGAGGATCCGTATATTTACTCGTAGTGTGCATAGGCTGTAGTGTATTTTAATTTATTGGCTATAGTTTTTAAATTTAAAATTTAAAATTTGCTTGTCTCGTAACTTGTAATATCGTCCAAATTACTTGCGAGCATAGCGAGTCACACGAGCACGAGCACAAGTACAAGTAATGTGGGCGCACCT